TCACTTGACCTCAGATTCACGTTTGATTTGGCTGATTTCATTTTGAAGTAGAGTAGAACAGCAAACAACGTGTAAAGGGCTCTCAACATCTCAGGTAAAACACATCAAAAGTAATTTGGGATAACGTAACATGTGAGAGAGGGAGGAGGGTCATGAGAAAGGAGGAAAGTTTTCTGATTTACAACCTAGTAAATACAAAATACACAAGTTCATATTTTTCAAAATTGAAATCAGCAAAAATGCTACAGAATGGGCAATAAAACTTTCTGTTACATGCCAACAATCGGGCAGAAGCAAGCGAAAGCTAAACAGCCAAAAGCTTCTGGAACGTGCATGTTCGAAACCTCACACCTTCTTCTAGGTTATGAAATGTGCATTATTACGCAAATGACAGAGATGGCCAATAAATGAATTTTTATATTTTATATGTGGTTCTCAAAAGATGCACTTCCAATAAAACAAATATGGTATATCTTCAAATCTTCAGGTTTTGTTTTTCTTGTCTGAGTAAATAATACTGAATTTTTTCTCTTATCTAATATTTCTTCTGGCAAAAATTTAGGGTTCAAGCAAAGGGCTGACCATTAGACATCTCAGAATAAAGGGGGTGAGAGAAGTAATGTTCGGTGGATGGGTTGGTGGAAGAAACAGTATAGACAACTGCCCATAAGCAAGTTTATTGAAGCTGGACTGCAGGTCTTTTTGGAAAATAACTTAGGGAGAACACACAAACAATTTTTTTCAAGGATTCAGATGGTCTACCCCTGAACAAATTGTAGATTAACAGCCGTTCAATGGAACTTTTAGTCTAAAGTAAATTTGCATGATCTTGAGGTCAGGTAAAAACCATCAACATGTACAATGGAGCCAACAAATTTACATATTGTAACATTGTGATCTAGATCCAAAAAAACTGCAGCCATGTGATGCTTCGGTGGTCACACGTAGACAGGGGGCAAAGAGTATCTGGACTGACAGCTAGCAACATTACTCAAGTCTAGTCCACCATACTGGGTTCCCTTATTTGACTTTAGGTTACGCCACTACCATTCATTAGCATCAGTTTATGTAACCAGGCCACTTAAATCCTTGTCATCAAATTGAAACTCCACTCTTCCCACAGATCATTTACATCAAATTTTATTTATAAATAATTTGAGGTTATCACCAGAATACTGCACTGAAGGCAGTACAGCCGGCAATCATACAAACCAGCAGTGAGTTGAGGTTAATGCGATCCCAGACTGCCTAAGTACATACTTTTGCAGTATTCTCCCGATAACCTGATCATTATACATCTTCTGTTTGTAAAAATAATTAAACGAATTGCCAGTCAAACACAAGTCATACTAGCAAGTGTTTACACGATTTTCTGTGATCAAAAACATGTTCAGTTTCTGTGCGCTACTGTGCCCAATGTAAACAAGAACAATTTTGTAAACTAAGAGTGAAAATATTTCCTGAAGATGCAGGTATGGTGGCTTTTCATAAAATTCTAAATTCTACTGCTCTTGCTGCCATATGTTTAATCTACAATGAATCATAACTACATTGTACTAGTATCATCCTTATAATATCCTTCATTGCCCATCAACAGATCAGCATCAAGAGTAAACACAAATATATTTTTAGAAATTCAAAGAATGTAGAAAAAAAATAAAATTAGTATACATCTGTCATGGGAGGGGTGGGGGTCTATATGATATATCAATCTATCCATCTAAAGCCATTGCTGGAAAATACATAGATAATGCATTATTCATTATACTTTGTTAATTGCAAAACAAATTAGGGTGTTGAGAGAGAAGAACACAACAATGTAATATTTATATCATGGAAATTAATTGTTTCTCCATACTGTAACATTACATGTATTATCAAATTTTGTAAAGATAGTTTCCAGAATGATGAATCAATAATTTAAGATAATTAAACTATATACCGATAATCTATAATTATATCAACTTCATATATAACTTGAAGCGGAGGGGTCGTTACCTGTACATGCATGAGAAACGATGTACGCTAAAAACGCAAAGGCTCATGGATAGACGCTTATTTGTAAACAACAACACCCTACGGCATTGTACCACATGTGTAGGTGATGTTAGTACTAGTACCCAGGCACTGGCGGCAAATATGAAATGTTCAACTTTGACATTATTTTGTAACGCCACTTTAAACAATTCAACCACACTTTGACAGTGGCTGCCATCTTAAAAACAGCTGTTCACCTAAACAGCCATTCACGCTGCTCTCAATAAAACTTTCTTGAATATGCGTTAACGGCTACGAAAAACTGTAATTGTAATTTAGACATCAAATTAAATTTTCAAAAAGTGATGCCTAAATTGGAATATTTACAGTATGCGGTGGCAGTGGCTCCTTAACTACATATCCCAATCCGACCACATGAGGACGCTTGGGTCAAAGAAATAAATTAATCTCGTTAAAACTTTATAAAATAACACTTAAATATTGCCTGGTGGTGAATTGTAATTTTCATAACTTCCATAAACCTCCTCTCTTTATTTCACTATGCACTGTGAGTGTCTCATGTTTCTTGTGGTGGGAAGTATTTGATATTATCTGTTATATAGTTTACATCAACCTCTGTGCACCAAACTAAGCATTATTGATATTCTCTCCAATTCTATGTATAATTGTTTTTCACTAATTGATAAAGTTCAAACCAGAACACAAAATAAGACAAACAATATATCCAGGTTAAGGTACACTCTTCGCTGCTTAAATAACAACTATTTGACAACCACTGCTGCTTGGGTGAAAGTTGATATATATTCCGGTCCAAAGTATTTATGTACCTGTTAACTGGACATATTTTTGTTGAACACCATGATCACTGAATTTGCTTGTAATTAATTACAATTTTATAGTCAACAATTTGTTTTTAATAGTGTTCTGAATTTAAGCACGAATGAGATGTCATTTGCATACTGTGAAATAATTTATTTTCACTGGAATTAATTTTCGCTGAAAATACTTCTTGGGTATTTTGTGTGGAATTTATTTTCACTGATTTGTGGCGAGTTCAATGTAAAATATAGGAAAAAAGGTATATTCACTGGATTTTATTTTCACTGAATCACTCCTTCAGCGAAAATAGCGAAAATTAATTCCAAGCGAAAATAAAGTATTTTACAGTATCATTAACATTTTGAACCTCGCAACAAGTGTAATAATTTTCTCTTTTCAAATTTCACAATTTAAAAGCGCTTATCAGTTTAACTTAATTCAACTCAAGCGTAGAAAACAATCCATTGATGCTCAACTTAATAAAGGTGCGCAAGCCAGGACTCTAACAAGAAGACTGGCAATAAGTTCCATCAATCAACGCAATCATAAAGCAACCACATATCAATTACGAAGTCATGTTCAGCTGCCCTTGCTTGCAGTAATGACATCAATTCGACTGACAACTTGTCGAATTCAAGCTCATCTTGATACGACATGTGCACTAAATTTATAACAAACTAATCGGAGAAAGCCCAGGTTGAGGAAATCAAGGCTGTAGGAGAAATTTCAACTCAACACAATGAAAGTTTGCCAGTTTACCACGTTTCAAAGCCACAGTAATAAGCAGCGCGATACATCTTTCATTAGGATCTATATTTCAAAGCAAAATAATCTTCCTTTGCAGGCATTCTGTAGGCTTGAGTTAGTAATTGTTCAATTTGCACTGATTAATAAGATTAGATTAGTGGAAGAAACCTTCTAAGAGAGACATAACATACTTACATATGTCATAAAATCAAGTTATCTAATTACAATACTATTTCAGTACTTTGTCTGCCAGAATCATTTACTTCCACATTTTGAGTACGGTAAATTACTAAAGGGTCTATTGCCTGACTGAAAA